AGGAGCAGGTGGGTGGAAGGACTGGGCTTCTGAAGTCTGGTGCTCCAAAAAGGCACATAAACCCATCCCGGGAGCAGAAAGGGCTCAGAAAGAAGCATTTTATGTTCTAGAGGAATCTACCTTGATGATCATGGAATCCACCTTGATGATCATGGAATCCCAGCCTGGTTTGGGTTGGGAGGGACCTTAAAGCTCACATCAATTCCAATCCCTGCCACAGACAGGGGCACCTTCCACTAGAGCAGCTTGCTCCAAGCCCCTGTATCCAACCTGCCCTTGAACACTGCCAGGGATGGGGCAGCCACAGCTTCTCTGGGCACCCTGTGCCAGCGCCTCAGCACCCTCACAGGGAAGAGCTTCTGCCTAAGAGCTCAGCTCAGTCTCCCCTCTGGCAGGTTAAAGCCATTCCCCTTGGCCTGTCCCTACATCCCTTGTCCCAAGCCCCTCTCCAGCTTTCCTGCAGCCCCTTCAGGCACTGGAGCTGCTCTCAGGTCTCCCCTTCAGGAACCTTCTCCTCTCCAGGCTGACCCAGCCCAGCTCTCTCAGCCAGGCATTAAACCACAGGAGCACGCGTTCCCAGCATCCCAGCCCTCCCCAGGTGGGCCCTGTGTGATGGGCTCTTTGGTCACTGCAGCTCTGCAGTGTGCCCAGGAGCCTGCGGTGGGGCCCATTGTCCACCTCCAGCCAGGGGGCTGGGAGGGCAGGTGCTGGTTCCCTCCCCGTCTTGGGGCTGCAGATTCCAGCCTGATCCCGAGCGCGTGGGTTTGTTTCAGATGGAGAAGGCCAATGCCAGGATGAAGCAGCTCAAGCGGCAGCTGGAGGAGGCTGAGGAAGAGGCCACGCGTGCGAACGCTTCCCGGCGTAAGCTTCAGCGTGAGCTGGACGATGCCACAGAGGCCAACGAGGGCCTGAGCCGGGAGGTCAGCACCCTGAAGAACCGGCTACGGTAGGTGCTTGGTGAAGCCCTCGGGTGCCCACAGACCCTGTGTCCCTGGGGAGCATTTGGTTGTGGGGTAGCAGCAGCAGAGCTGGGGATCGGTACAGGGCAAACTGGAGCCTGCTGGGAGCTGCTGCCCAAGCCCAGTGCTGGCAACAAGGGAGCTGCCAGACCACAGGCATGTTCCTGGCACCTCCTGTGCCAGAGCCCTTCGGGGCTCACACTGGCGGCAGGTTCCCTGGCGATGACAGCTCAATACAGCCCTAGGTCAGCACGACAGAGGAGGGAGGCGGCTCAGCCGTGCTTCGCCAGCGGCTGGTTCCCATCCCTGTTGTCCTGACCCACCTTGGTGGGAGCGTTTCAGCATCTTTGGGATCAGGGCTGTACCGGGTACAGATGGGAGGCGGCAGTGGTGATGCTGCTGCTGAACAAAAGCCATGTCAGGAGGCAGAGCAGTGCACAGCGAGCGGCTGATGTCCGCTGGGAGCACCCGCTCTGCCCTGCTTGGTCTGGGCTTGGTGCTCATGCACAGAAAACACTTGAAGCTGCTTGGGCCTTGCACGGTTGAGGTGCCGATAGGAGCCAAGCGGCTGGGTTGGAGCGTGTTGGGGCACAGTGCGGGCCCGTGGCCAGGGGGAGGGTTCAGGGCCCGGAGCGGAGCCCGTGGGCGCTCAGCGGGTGCTGCCTGTTTGCAGGAGGGGGGGGCCCATCACCTTCTCCTCGAGTCGATCCGGGCGGCGGCAGCTCCACATCGAAGGGGCCTCTCTGGAGCTCTCGGATGATGATGCAGAGAGCAAAGGCAGCGACGTGAACGAGGCGCAGGCGGCCCCGGCCGAGTAGAGCCCGTCCCTGGGCATGCAGAGACCTTCCCGCAGCGGGCGCAGGAGCACGGGGACTCTCCTGAGCACCAGGGCTGCCACGAGGCCCTCAACCTGCCTTACGGAACGCCGGCATGCTACTACAAGGTTACGTATCGTAGGTCAACCATGTCTTAAGGCTCTCCAGCCTCACCATACTGTACCCTGCTTCAGATAATAGGTACAACTGCTTTTTTATATATAGCAAACGAAATGGGATCGTCTCTGTTCAGTGCATCTCTTTTCCAGATACCCATTGTAAAGCCATTTTATAAAGCATCATGTGAAGGATGAAACTCTTTGTTTTTTAATCACCACAGAAACTTCATTCCCGGCGGGTGGGTGGTGGGGACAGACCCGGTGTCACGGCGATGCATGCTTTGTACAGACAACATCCCCCCTCCTCCCGTGCTCGGGCAGCCCTTGGGCACGCTGAGCCTGTCGGATCGTTGAAGACCAAACCTCACCCCATCTTTCTTTTCCTCCTCCTCGTTGTGATCAGTCGCACACAATCAGCGCGGGAACTGTGAAAAGGCCTTGGGCAGCGTAGGGAGGACTGAGTAGTGTCCACATTTACCCCGCAGCGGCACCGGGTGGTGCTCTCCGCGCTCCTCCGGCAGCGCTGGCGCAGCACGGCCCCGGGGCAGCCCCGCTCCCGCACACCCCGCATGGGACCGCTCCATGTGAACACCAGGAGAGCCCCGGGCCGGCGCGGGCACCGCTATTTATTAACTCATGGCCCAGGGCGGGGGTCCGGGGCCGCGGGTGCCCCCACCTGCAGGTAACAAACAAGCCAGTGGATGTGAATCCTTTTGTTGTTGTTTTATTTGTTTGGAGCAGTATTACAGCCCTAGTTTAGCCTTCTTTTGTTTAAATAGCTGGAAACTGACATTACAGAAAGTGCCTTAGACACTACAGTACTAAGACAATGTTACATATATAATTTGCCTCTATAACGATGATTTAATGTATTAATTTTGACTGTGCTTCATATCATGTACCTCTCTAGTCCAAGTGGTATTATGGATATTAGTGACAATGAATCAGTGTTAACTAGGAACCTTCCTCTGCCACACGCTCAAACAACGTGGATTTCCTTTTTGGTTAAAAGCTTTAACATCTGTCGCAAAGGTTTTGTTGTGTGTGTTTGGATATTTTTAATCAAACTGGCTGTTGACCACCAGGCATCTGACTGCAAAGATCTTGTTTTCTTGTATACCCATATTTCTAGACAATGATTTTTGTAAGACAATAAATTTATTCATTATAGATGTGGCCGCCTGCTCTGTTTACTTACCAGAAGAGCTCTCTCCTGAGGCTGGCATAGACCTTAATAAATGAGACTATGACTGGAAGCTGCTTTTCCCTTCTTCCTCTTTTGTTTTCCTCTTGTTTTGACCTGGATCCTGGATAAGGGAGCTGTGGTGGGGATGTGTGGCCAGAAGCACACGGAGCTCTGAGCCCTGCTGCTGCTGGCCCAGGGCCCTCGGGCAGGGTCCCGTCTGCTTCCCGAGCAGTTGAAGGTCCCATTGGTGTGTCCGGGGGGGCAGCGCAGGTCTTGGGGCAGGAGGGAGCTGGGGCTGAGGCTGTGGCTGGGGGCAGCGCTGGATGCTGAGCCATGGGGAAGGGGCAATGATGGCTCCAAGTGTGGGGAGGGATGGGAAGGAGGGGCTGGGGGCAGGGCTCTGCTCTCCAGGCCAGAGCAGGGATTTGGTGCTGTTGGCACAGGCCAGGGCCGGCCCCGTCCCCAGGCACTGGGCAGGAAGGGCTCAGTTCTGCGGGAGGGCTCCAAAGGGGAGGAGGAGGTGACTGCAGCGAGGGGGTCCCACTCCCCCCGTGCTGCTGCTGCACCCGCCAGCAGGGACCAGGCCGGGGGCTGTGGGAGCCACCCCGCAGCACCCACAGCCCTGCCCGGGGCCATCCCCTGCTGCTGTTTGCTGCCAACCCACCCCAGGGGGTGCAGCTCTGCCCCAAATCAACCCCCAGGGCTCAGCCAGGCCAGCGGGTGCCTGTGTGCTGAGCCCCCGCTCTGCCCCAGGGGGACCCCAGCACCAGCCCCAGCGCTGGTTCTGCACAACCCAGAGTCCACATTAAAAGAACTTTATTGTTGGAAGCTGACTCTCACTGGTTCGTGTTAACCCACAGCATGACCCGTGTCCCCCCGGGGGGCTGGTACACTGTCCTATGGAAACATGCCATATAGAGTTTGAATAAATAAAGCTACAAAGCCCAAGTTATGTACAAAGGAGGCCTCAGGCAAAGGTATTATGTTTACAAACCTATGTACAATAAAACAAATGTAAACAGTCATTCGCAGCAGGGGACGCAGGAAGGAGCACACAGACCCTAACAAGGGGTGGGGGGGTCCCCATCTCCCTCCAGGTTTCTCCATGCTTGTAACTAAACCAAGATGATGGCTCTGACCAGGACCGATGAGTTCTACACCCCCAGCTCCAGCCCTGGCTGGGGTTGCTGGGTCAGTTAAAATCCACCCCCTCTGAGGCACATCGACAGAGATCACACAAACACGCTGCTCGAAGGACCCACACGGAGCACTCGCCCACCCCTGGCACCGGGGCCCACGGGTGATGCTGTAACAATCCAGGCGCACGTTACACAGATGGGGCCGGGATGGGGAAGTGTGTGGCCATGGGGAGCGGTGGCATCCTAAGGCTGTCCTGGGGTCCCTGTATTGGAGGGGAAGGCTGTGACCAGGGCAGGAGATGGTGGGGCCAGGAGGATGGGCTGCAGCTCCACAGGCACCATGCACCGAGGGAGAACGGTCAGGCTGCCCTGCTCACACTAAGGCATCTGCTGTTGGGATTGAGGCGGCTGGGATACGCTCACCCGCGCGTGCAGGGAATGCTGCCCCCCCGTGCCTCCATCCCTCCAGGCCCAGTGAAGCCCCGTGTGATGTGCACAGTGCAGGGGCAGGGCTGGGGACCACACTCACCCTCCCCAGCACCCGGAGCTGTGCCTGTGAGTGATGGAGCTGCAGGAACGGAGTCAAGGCGCCAGCGCCTCCACCACGAGGGCTGAGCAGCACCGGGGGGCAGCAGCCGCCCGGCCCCAGCAGCAGGACGCTGGCGCAGGCAGGGAGGGCAGCGGCCAGCCCTTGTGTGGTGCCAAACCCAGGGGAGAGAGGAGAGAACCCGAGTGCCGAGGCTGCCGGGCCAGGGTCTGGTGAGCAGAGCCCCGCATCCCCTGCAGGGCATGGGGCCGAGCCACAGCACGTCCGCTGCAGCGGGAGAACAGGAACTGCATTAACATGACAAGGAGGCCGGGTCGTGTTCCAGCGGGGCGGCAGCGGGGAGCGAGCTGGAGCGCTTCTTCTCTGGGTGGGCTGAGAAAAGCATCCGCAAGTCCGAACACGACCTCCCGCGGGCTCATACGCTCAGGGGCAGCATTCCAGGCGCTGAGGAGGGGCGAGAGGCTCCCAGGCCGGGGGGACCTTGATCAAAGCCGTTCACTGCCCTGAGAAGCAATAAGAGAAGCCAGTGATGAGGAGCAGCCGCAGGAGGGGCGCCGCGTGCCTCGCCCCAGCACCAGCAGACACAGACAGACCGCTCCCCCTGCCTGTGCAGCAGGGGACAGGGCCCCCCCCTCGGGCTGCAAGGATGGTGCTGATCCCTGCCGGCAGCAGGCACGTGCAGCCCGCGTGGAGCAGGAGAACCCAGTAATGTGATGGGCACAACCCGGCCGTGGAGCCTCAGCACCGCACTACCCCTGCCTGGGCTGCAGCAAGGGCTCGGGGTGCCTCCACCCCCCCCAGGATCCAGGGGTTCCTCTGGCTGCTGGGAGAGGTGAAGGTGTGGAGAACCTGGGCTCCTGGCGGGCTGGAAGGGCAGTGCAGGGCTGTGACAGCTTCTCCATCTCTACTCTGCGGTGGCATTGACAGATCTGCTGTAACCAGGTTCCTCTCTGCGGATCACCAGCGCTGCAGCCCGCACAGCCAGAAGTCCTTGCATCCCTGGACCAGGACAGCACCCACTGCTGACCCACATGAGAACCTGCCCTCATGGTTGGGTTTGCAATACTGAAGGTGGGGGAAGAACCCCATCCCCTGCAAGGCAAGGCAGGTCCCCCTTGATGTCTGCCTGCTCCCACAAAGCACTGCTGCAGCACTGCACCAGCTCGGCCTGAACCACCAGCACCCCATGAGAAGCCACTTGGATCCCTTCTGGCAGAGCTACGCTTGCGAGAGTCCCAGACTGGTTTGGCTTGAAAGCACCTTAAAGCTCCTCCAGCTCCAACCCCTGCCACGGGCAGGGACCCCTTCCACTAGAGCAGCTTGCTCCAAGCCCCTGTGTCCAACCTGGCCTTGAACACTGCCAGGGATGGGGCAGCCACAGCTTCTCTGGGCACCCTGTGCCAGCGCCTCAGCACCCTCACAGGGAAGAGCTTCTGCCTAAGAGCTCAGCTCAGTCTCCCCTCGGGCAGGTTAAAGCCATTCCCCTTGGCCTGTCCCTACAGGCGCTTGTTCAAAGTGAGCTTCAGGACATCTTTGCTGTTCAGATCAGCTGCCGTGAGTGAAAACGGGAAGGAAAAGAAGAGCAAGGGCTCCATCATGAGGAAAACAGCAAATGCGCCAGGGCTCAAGGAGCACATCCTGCTCCCCCCTGCAGCGCTGCCACAGGGACCATGTGCCAGCAGCTTCTGTGCCAGCAGCTCCGGGCAGCATCCCCAGGACACAGCAGTGCTGTTCTAGGCTCCCTTTCGCATGCACACCCTTGCCCTGCAACTCGCATAGGGGTGACCTCGCACCTCCTGCATCCAGGGTGCAAAAACCCTGGCAGGAAACCCCCGAGGCTGCTGCTGCTGCCCTGGGCAGTGTCAGAATCCTCCCAGCTGAAGAGGTGACATCTCAACCCTGGCTTGCAAGGACAGATTCCCATGGTAACAGCTCCCCCAGCTGCTCCTGCTCCCTCTCTTCTTGTTCAACACCCACATTACACAGCCTGAAGCACATCGCAGCAGCAGGGCAGAACAGGGAGAAATGACCTTTCCTGCCTCCCCCTCCTTCAGCCTGAAGCTTCAACTCCCATTCAAGTGTTGCTTCAATACATTCCCAAGTGCCTCTTTGCTGCACGCAGTAAAAAGCTGCTGGACAACACTGAGGGGCAGACATATTTTGCTATCTGCAGTGGGATGAAGGGGCATGAAGCCAACCTGGTCACAGCATGACTCTGCGAATTAGTTATCAGCCAGAAAGCACCTCTGCCAAGTGGGACAAGGAAGAGGGAAACCACCACCAAAACATCCAGCACCAAACAGGATTAAAGCTGCTCCCCTTTGGGAGGGTTCAGTCAACAGCAGCAGCCTGGAAGTGCTTGTGCTCATGTTCAAGCCCAACACGTGGCTGGCTCCCAGCGTGTCTGTGCCCATGTTTGCTTTCCCATTAGGCACAACCAGGGCAACTGAGCACTGGCAAACCAACACTGGAGGCAAAACAGGACCAAAGGGCAAACTAACTTTCAAAACTACATGAAGAGCAGCGATACTTCATCCTGCGGCTCTGCTGCGACCAATCCAATCAGAAACGTGCATGGACTAGAAGAAATAATTAGATCAAGAAAGCAGCAACACTAGATCTTCCTATTGCAACAGGTCACAGCAGCAGAGGAGTTTATCTGAACTAAGGAGAGAGATTATAGCCTCAGGCTTTGATCATGGACCATTAGTTTGTAATGCTCAGAGAGCTACCTCATGCAGTTAGATAACCACCAGCTCTGCCCCTTCAAGCCCCAGGTTAAAATGCATGCAGCTTATCATTGCAAATGAATTCATTTACCCATGACCAAGGTGGGGAATGTGACCTTTTCACGCCTAGTGGAGAAAAAGTGGAAGAGTTTATGCACACCATAAAGACATCGTGGGCATCCCTGGATGCAAGAGCTGGAGCAAAGCTAAAGTGTTAACTAAACCTCACCAGACCTCTCTTCCTGCACCTCTGCGTGGCCAGGCAAGGGGACAACCAGCACTCCCACCACATTCTGCACCTTGCAGTGGCTTGCACGCAGCCAGATGAAAGCTCGGAGTACTGCAAAGCACATTCCAGAACAGGGAGTTACTCACCTGTATCCCAGGTCCCTCTTTTCCAGGGAAACCTTTTCATAAGTCAGAGCAGGCAACAGGAGGAAGACCCCGATTTCCCAGCCTGACGTATGATGAGCAGGGTGGTGGGTGACAGTGTTCACAGTGCAAATACACCTGCATGCTCCCTGGCACTGCAGAGCACCTCTCGTGTTCAAACTTGAGCTTGGTTCATTAAAACAAAGCCCAAGAGGTTCACAAAAATAACTTCAGAATAAGAATTAACTACAAGGGCTTGGACATTGAAGAGTGTAGGAGGGGAGCAGTGAGCTTGGAGCTGATGCCCCAAGGAACAGCACCATGCTGGCTCACACGCTGCCTCGGCTCTGCTGCTCAGGTGCCTCTGCAGAGCCCTGCAAGGTCCCAGGCATTTTGCTTCCTGACTGGATCCAAGCTTATATCCAATTCAGAATAATTACAACAGCAAAAATGAAGCATCTGAGAACAGGCTCAGGTGCTGCCCTGCCAGGCCCTGGCATCCGCACAGGAACAGCGCATTCCTGAAGGAACCAGCCTGCAGACACTGGCAAGATTTCCAAAAGCAGCCAAGTCCTGACTTCCAATTCAAGAGCCACGCTCCAGAGCAAGCCCAGAGCCATCCAGGCCTCCCCTGCCTCCAGTGCCTGCGCAGCTCCACTGGGCAAGCTGATGGGAGATGGAGACTCAAACATTTTAACCAACCAAACGGCAGAGGCAGAAAAGGCCACAAGGATGCTCAGGGCTCTGGAGCAGCTCTCTTAACAAGGAGAGATGCAGGAGCTGGGCCTGGTTAGCCTGGAGATGAGCAGACTGAGAGGGGATCTCATCAATGCAGATCCATATCTCGAAGGTGGTGCTAGGAGGATGGGGCCAGACTCTTTTCAGTGGTGCCCAGCAACATGATGAGGAGCAATGGCCATAAACTAACACACAGCAAGTTTCACTTCAACACGAGAAAGAACTTTACACTGAGGGTGGCACAGCCGTGGCACAGGCTTCCCAGGGGGCTTGTGGAGTCTCCCTCTCTGGAGACATCCCAAACCCACCTGGACATGTGGGCCTTGCTCTGGGTGGTCCTGCCTTGGCAGAGCCTTGGACTGGAGGATCTCCAGGGGCCCTTCCAACCCTAACGATTCTGGGATTCTGTAGCTGGAACTGTAGTGATGTGGCTGTGTCACTGTTGTCCCAGTACTACTGCCCAACAACTGGCTGTTCTTTAGGCAGTGGCTGCAGATTGGATTTGATCTATGATCACATGCAACGATTAGAGGCAAGGAGAAGAGTACAAAGGCTTGAGAGAGAGCAGAGGGGGGCAGAAAGGACACAGCCCCTCATGCTCAGCCCCCACTGTGCACCCTGGATGTGATGGCTGCCAGGGACAGGTGCCAGCATGGCTGGGAGCTCAGCTGCTGCTGCAGCATGTGAGCACGATGGGCTGACCTCCTGCAGGTAACTGCTCAGTTCAGCCTACATGTGCAGACAAAATCATACAGGTTGGACACAGCACAGCCACTGCCACCCTACAGCACACACAGACCTCAACAGGGGCAGCAAGGCAGAGCAGGAGCAAAATGTAAGGGGAAAAGCGTGGGCCACCGACCCTGCTGTGAACAGCATATGGGGTGTAAAAGAGAAGGACAAGACAGCAGGGCCATGCAGGGATCTTTAACACTTTGCAGATAAGCACATCAGTCATTTCCACCGCCTTTTTTAGCCCACTAACGTCCCCCAACTCTGCTGTAGAAGTTCTCTTGCAGGAGGCTGAGTTTCTAAGCTTTTTCCAGCTACAACCTGCTCCTAACTCCAGGCAGCCAGCCCAGATAACAAGTGTGATGACAATCTGGATAATTAAAAGTAACCCCCACCCCACACAGCAATCAGCTTATTTGTCACACCACAACTCAATATAGCCCTGCTGCCTCTTAAGAACAGCCATAATCTCTCCCTAGCAACTCCCCTGACAGCTTGCACCTGAAACACAGCCTGCGCACTGCAAGCGTGAGCGCTGCTGTGGTGATGCACAGCCCCAGTCAGCCCTGCAGTACACAGACAACTTAAGGTCTGATTTGCACATGACACTTAAATCTCCAAACTCTTCCTTTCCCAAAGCAATAGTGACTCTAAAAACTCTGAATGCCAGTTTCTTAGATGCAACTTGCCCTGCTACCCACGTAGCAACGCGATTCAGCTCAAACCAGGATGACTGTAGGAAGCTCAGCTTGTCTGCTGTCTATAAAGCACTCCTCAGCTTGGTAACAGCTCATTTAATTCTCTAAATTCTGGACTGAGGATACACTGAATATTAGCAGTAAATTCCCCTGACCCGAGGTTTAGTACTGAGGATAACTATACATGGAGCACGGGGGGAGAGTTTTGCCCAGTGACACCAGCACATCTCACAGCACCACCGTGCTAACGCTGGAGTTGTGCTGTGCTGTTCGTCCTGCTCCTCAGGGCTCCTCACACAACCTCAGGGCCCTGTGGGAAAATCCTCCTGTTGAACCACTTCCCAGTATCCCAGAGGAAGCTCTGACCACGAGCGAGTCACGGGAGGCACGTGGGGCAGTTCTTCCTGTGAAGGCAGTTTGTGGCTCTACAGCTGACGCACAGCATCATCAGCACCGAGACAGCTTCCCCTTCCATCAGCCAGAATTACACTGTTGATGACGTTTTCTTTTCCCCTAATAGAAGGGAAAAGAGAGCAAACAGGGCCCCACCCTCCTGTGAGGATCTGCTGCCTGCACTTAGCTGTTCCCACCGAGGGAATCCCCAGCTCTGTGGTGAATGTGCTTCCCCATGCACCAGTAGCTATGGCAACACCACCACTACTTACTTGAGAACCTGTCTAAGGGCATGTTTATTACCTGAGATGTAACCACCAAGAGATTAGGCAGCAGAGGGACAGAACAGGCCCTGCATGCTACCAGCTAAGACACAGCCACGCTTGCTTTTCTCTTCGCTTCGCAGAAATCTGTCAGTGTCCCTGTCCCCTTGAGACTTTGGCTCCACAAATTATCTGTCCTATAGGATGAAAACTGTGGTGTGCTAAAGACCAGCCAAGAAAAACTTGTGCTCCGAGTAGCATCCTGGAATGCACTCTCCTTTCAGGTAAAAGGAAATCCTTTCTTACCCTTTGTCAAAGAAGGAAGTGTGCCCGGGGTGAGGGTACTTTGTGCCGTTGCTGTTCATCACGCTGCTGTTAACGTTCCCCGACACGTAGGATTTTCGGGATGCCTGGTCCTTTGCAAAGTTCCTGCAAGCAGCTAATTTGGATTCTAAGGCCTGGGAAACAGGAAAACCAAGATTATGTCAAAAAAAAGAGCAATACTAATTTACTAATAATTTAACAAGAGGAAGCATTTTGCTGTTCAAATTTAGGCTTTGTCACAACCCCAGGGTCACCAGGAGCAGGACCCCGATTTTCACCTTTGGCAAAAATGGAACTAAATGGGAACAAAGCTCATGTTCTCTGTCACCAACCCCAGAGGAAATGCAATGCAGAGGCAGACCTCCAGGTGTGACTCAGTTCCATCAGGGCTCAGACTTTAGAACTCTCAATTACCTAAAAGAAGGAAGCCACCTCCCAGCAGAAGTTACCAAGCCTCCTTGCCTCAGCAGCTGCACAAAGGCTGAGGTGAGCTAACCAGAAGTCTAACAGCCTGAGGCACAATCCTCAGGTTTGGGGGAGGACTGTGTATTTGTGAAGTTGAGAAGCTGAGTTTTCTCCCCAGGACAATGCCTTTTAGCATTTCTTTCTTAATCTCTGCCTACAAAACAAAGCCGCTTAAGCCCCACTGATATGAACAAGAGGTGCTACAGCAACAACATCAGAAGGAGCAATCAACTGCATTAGCTAAGCCCATCCCTGTGGTCTGTACCTCATCCCTACTACTTCCAAGCAAGCCTGGTGAGATCTTTTTCGCCTATACAAGGTAACAGTCTCTGCCTCATCCACTGACTCCTGGCAGGAGGGAGACCAAAATCCTGATTCTCTCCTTTCTTTCAGGACATCACCCGCCCTTTCTGGCAGGTATAACAAACTGAGCCATAATGTGACTCCTTCTGGCCTAGCAGAATGTCCTTCCAACTGTCTGTTACATCCACCCTGTGCATGGCTACATTCAGACACTTCCAAATGCATGCACCGGAGACAAAATCTCATCTCCCCATATTTGGGAGCTTGGTCTGGTTCCATGTAGAACAATATTCCATCGACAGGCCACTGACATGCTACCACAAGTAAGTGAACGCTATAGGGTCTTCTAGAAATCCGTGTGAGCTCAGCGAGCACACAGGGAGATAGCTACTTCATACAGGTACCTACCTCTCGGTCGCAAAACACCTATCAGCTGGAAGGAGCCAGTGTGATCTCTCCCTGTGTCAGCTGAAGGCAAGAAAGCCTAAGGGAAACTTCTGGCAGAGAAAGCAAGTCTAAGGTTTGGGATGAGGCATCCTATGAGTGGCCAAACGCAAAGAAATCCTGAGCAGGCTGTAACTGCTGCTAAACAAATGTGTGAGCTGGAATTCTGAGCGGGTGTCTAAGGGCAGGCTGGGAAAGCAGGATGCTTATTTGGCATTTCCTGTCCTTGCAGAGTAATCACACGGGATTGTGATTAAGCTCCCTAAATCCCCTGCAGACTCTTACTCACAATGATCCCATTTTAGCCATGTCACTCTAACCACAAGTGGGCCTGCTGCCCTTTCTAACCAACCCCCAGCTCAGTGGCTCAAAACGCAAGCAACGAGGTCACTTTTCCTTCCAAACTTCACTAAAGCGGCTGCCTCTCCTGCAGCTACTGCCTCATCAGTGGTACCCACAGGAGACAGAGGACAGCCAGCACCAAGGCTACCCACGCTTCCACTCACAGCTACCCACTGAGGCACATCAAGGAGCTTCTCCTAACTTCAAACTCAGCTGGAAACCTGGCATCCTGAAGAGCACACTGACAGAGTTTTAAGCACTTGTCCCTGCTTACAGTGGTAATCCCTTTAAAGGCTCACAAGTTTCACTGCCTCCTCAACTAAAGATTTGGCTTTCTCCTCATTTCTTTTCTCGCTTTCTTAGCAAAGGTCTCTCTCTTTTTCCCCACTTTCAGCACCTGCTGCAAATGCCCACAGGCACATGAGGGGACACTGGCAGCGTGATCTCAGCTCCAGATCTCAAGCTCCCCACTTGTGTGCAGCAGGCATCCAGGCTCTGTGGCCCAGATTTGCATCTTGGTCTCATTACAGAGGAAGCTGCAGGCCCTGTTTAAGGTCAGAACAAGCAGCTGATGGCATCCAACCCCATATACCAAAGTGCTTGAGAAACTTCTTACTTCGAATATGAATTTCATCATCCAAAACTGGCCTCAGAACCCTAGCAACATGCTTTACAAATCAAGATAGTTAACCCCCCCCAAACATTACCACATTCTAAACACTGCATGTACTCAGCATGGGCCCAGGCCTTGCTGTCACTGCACACAAGGAAGAAAGCTCAGTGCCAGCACTGCAGAGTGAGGAACACTTCAGGTCAGAGCACTCACCCCCACTTTCCGTAGCAGATCCCCCACAATGTTGAGTGCAGATATTCGAGCTGAAGGAGTAAGGGGGCTGGTACCAAATCCATTTGGTATAGCTGCAAACACAGACACACTTGATTATATGCTCCACTCCTCCACAGTTCATTTATTGTTTTAAATTTAAATAAATCAACTTCTACATGAAAAGATGAATCTAAAATCCTACTGCAGAGTCTTCACACAGCCACCCCACAAGAACACAGACTACATGATCACTGGTCAGGGAAAATGCAAAAGCCCAATTCCTGTCCACTGCCCTCTTTGCATAGACCTACATGTGGAGATCATGCACTGTTCATCTGCAAGGCTATTGCCTGCAGTCCATCTACTCCAGCTAGAGCCTCCTCTGGAATCTGCTCCTTCTAATTTGAAGGATATGTAATAATCTCTGTGATTTTCCAGAGCCTTCCAGATGGGGAATGGGACTGCGCTAACATCCTGCTGCCTCACAGAGAAAACAGGAGCTGTGTGATAACAGCCTCTAGAGCACCAGAATCACTGATCGCTGTTTACCCACCACTGCTGCTCCACAGCTGAGCAGCACTACCAGTTACTACACTTTCCTGCAACCCCAAGTGTCTTCAGTGCTCCACTGCAGGCATCTACTGCAGAGTGCAAATCCCTCCCAAGCAATAGGTAAGCTTCTTTCTTTTCCATGCTATTTACTCATTATACTCCTTAAACACACTTATGCTGCCCCAGGATTTAAACACACCTTATGCAACATGTGTGGGGTCTACACACACGTACACTTGCTTCAAGCCCACTGACAAGCACCTGGTCTGCAATGGTTAGCAATGCTGCCAACCAACCAGGCACAGTTTCTGTGGATACCTTTTGGGGAAGGAAAACTATTTTCTGATCCTTTTCCAACAGGCGTGGCTGGCAGGGAGAGGGACGCCTGCACAGCCGAATCCATCTTCTCACAGTCCAGAGTTGGGGAACTGGGTGCTGACTTGCGCGTGACTTCTTGCTGCCTTTCCCGTACGGCCAGCTCCTGCCTCAGGTCTGAGGGTTGACAGAACACACACCCCAAACACCGATTAGTAACTGCTTTCTCTAACAGTCTATTCATCTGGGAGGAGGAGGAGGAGATGCTTTGCAACAAGCCTCTGTTAACTGCCTGTGGCTGGAGGGCCCCATCTCAGAGCAGTCACTGCCATTCACCATCACTTCCCATTTCAGCCCGGAGGAGAGGGGCAACAAACAGAGCCCTCCCTGGGCCCAGCAGCCCCCTTCTCCCCAGCATTCTTCCCCATCTGTAGTGTAAGTCCCATGGGAAGTGTGTCACAAACATCTGCTGAACTACGCTCAGCTCCTGCTCTGACAGAGGCTGGAAAAAGGGAGGAATGACCTATTCTTGTGTACCCAATTGCCCACATTACTCTTCCAGTCTATAATCCACAGGATTCCACACTAACCAAAAGGCTGTATCCAGTTTCTTGATGCCTCAAGAAGAAAAGAGCAGATAGGAGAGACTGAGTATTCCACATGACAGGGAAAAAGCCTGGAACCTGTTTCATTCTCACCTCCTCTCCAGCCTGCTGCTTACCCCTGCCTTGTCCCCTCCCATTCCCACACGTATTTGCTACAAAGAGCATCCAGCACAGCTCAGCAAAGAATCCATAAAACCTTTAGAAGGAACTAGATGCAAATAAAAAATATATTACAAATGGGTTGATCCTTTTTTGGATAGAGCAACTTCATCATTCACAGAATCCCAGACTGGTTTGAGTTGAAGGGACCTTAAAGCTCCTCCAGATCCAACCCCTGCCATGGGCAGGGACACCTTCCATTAGACCAGCTGGCTCCAAGCCCCTGTGTCCAGCCTGGCCTTGAACACTGCCAGGGATGGGGCAGCCACAGCTTCTCTGGGCACCCCTGGGGCTCTTGAATCAGAAATGCTGTATTTGACTTCAACACTGTAGCAGTTCTTTCAGTGGCTCCTGCTTGCTGCCAGGGGAACACGCAGCTTTGCTACCCTAACTAATGCTAAACTTTTCCAGATGACTCATCCAAGAAACAACATGTCCTTTTTGGCCAATTATTCCAGTGTTGTAGGAAACAGTCCCCTAGGTTTGCTGGGTTTTCCAGTGTTATTGCCCTAACCCCAAATTACAACACATATATTTCCTCAGAAAATACTTCCTCTCCCCTTTCATACTTATTACGAAACCCCTGTACTTCCAGCAGAGGCTTTCCATTTGTGGGGCACAAACTTGGTTCAGAGAGCTTCACAAAGGTGAGCAACTGCTGAAGGGTTTGTTGTTGTCTTACACTCAGGTCTAACTGAGGAATTGTCTTAGAAAGCCTCCCTTGGGAAAGCCAGTTGGAAGCCACTGGTCTCTGCATGACAGTAACAGCAGGCACTGACTGCAGAGCATCCCCACTAGTAGAAAAATCAGTTTCCACCAACCATTAGAAAACGCTTCCCCAGGATTCTCCAGGTGAAATCCACTGGGGAATTCCCACCTCCTGATCGTATCCCAGAACACTCTCTCAAAAAGGTCTAACCACAGTCTTTACTGGAGTATCTTAAATAAACCAGGCAATTTCCAAGAGGATTAGAAACAACACAGGAGACAGGATTTAAAAACTAATTTAGTTAACCACTTAGGTATTTCCCTGACATTTCCTGTGCTTTCCCTTCCTACGCAAGGCAGAAAACCACAGCAAGTGGGAACTTTTGAAGCACACTTCCTCAATTCTATTACATCTGTGGAATGCAGTATTTTTCTACTTACCTCTGTTAAAAAACCTGAATGAACCTGGTATTAATTTTGCTCTACACAAGGAAATTTTTCCTCTCAACTACACTGGGCATACAAAGAATAGAGAACATGCTGTTAGTAATACCTAACAGGGTAAGTATCCAGATCAGGTCTCATTATGCGAGGCTTTCTATAAACATGAGCTTTGGTTGCTACATAACTCTTAGGAAGCCAACAATGCAGTGGGACACAGAACTCATCAAGCCATACCTCTCGCTTCATCCTTTAATCTCTGTACAGAAACCAGTAATGACTCCTTGTCATCCAGTTCACTTTCTAGAAAGGCATTTCTCTCAATAGCTTGGTTCAGCCTTTGTTCAAAGTCTTCCAACGAAACTATTGTTGCCCTAGAAACAAAATCCAGAATATTGGGTTCTTCAGCTCAACCAGCATAAAAGCATATTTAAAAACATAATAGAAGAAAAATGTTAGCAGGGCCTACTTTCAAGTTAGTCATTTGAAAGCTATGGAAATAAACTCCAGAGAAGCAGGGGAATAAGATGAAAAGAACATGATAGCATCTGGCTCTCAGATGTACCAAAGGGCTGGGAAAGAGCCAGGCCAGCACTCCCATGCCATGTTTCCCAAGCCATGCTCCAAAGCTTCACATTTAATAAGTGCAGTAGCTCAGGTGGTGCTGCACTCTTCAGAGCTCTGGACAGGGAATGCAGGAGGCAGGGCAGTGAGGTATTGCCTATGACCCAATTTGTTCAGAAGTTAGTCATGAGGTTAAGAGCCTTGTGGAAACATGGCCTCAGCTCTCAGATCTTTCTGCCAGATAGCCAGAGGCTCATTCCTGGTCCCACTGAATCAGCAGCAGAATTCCCATTCTGCAGAACGGAAGCATGACCTGCTCCCAAACTGGGCACTTCCAACAGCAGCCTCTTCATTTTATGCATTTATAAAGGACACATTTGTTCCCTACAGTCATTAAGCTGTTGTGCAGGGAAGAGAAGACTCCTTTGGCCTGCTTTATTTGAAAGGGACTATGTAAAGCAACAGCTTATTTCAAAGCGGCTTTGAGCTACAAGGATCACAAATACAAGAGTCACCTAGCTGGTACTATAACAAGCAGTGCAGTGGCCTGGCTTGCTCTGTGCCTGCTCGTTTCTCACAGGAACACAAAGAGCTTTTGGGCCCCTGCCCTCCCTGTTGTAATGTAAAGCTCTCAGCTCATGAGGTGACTCCAAGGGTAAACTGCACTGTTCAAAGAATCACACCTTGGGATTTGTTTTAGGGGTTTTTTGAATGTTTGCTCATTTCCCTCTTAAGGAATAGTAAAATGATCAATCTGGGAAGCAAAGAAAAGACCTAGTGAAAACTTTAAGGAAGAGGTTTGCAGCCTTCACCTCTTGGCACGTTCCAAGTCATCGTTGGCCTGCTCCAGCTCCCTCACATACTTATGCAGCTGATCTTTAATGGCCCGTGTCTGGCTGAGGTCATGCTCCAAACAGGACACTTGCTTGTAACTTTGTGTATACTGGTGCTCCAGTTTCTCCTGAAAGAAAGGAGTAGCGAGATAAACATACACATACACGCTCCACATCAACAGCAGTGAAATGGGACAAAGAAACGAACATCCTTCCTGCAGCTTGCTGATCTGGGATTGCTGGAGATCCAGAGCAGGAACTGGAGAGGCAGAGGGAACGTGCTCTGAGCATACGAGCTGGGCACAGCGCAAAGCCACAAACACCGCACTGTGCACTGACACCTCACCACAACAGAGATGCAGGCCTGCATCTGCTCCCAGCAGCCTGCACTGACAGCTGCTCTGAAGCCTTAGACATGTAGGAAGCTGGAGAGAAATCCAACTGTGCAGCCTCCCCTCCCCTGACAATAGCCACACTGTCACCAGAAACTGACTGACATCTCCATTAGCAAAACTGAGAGCTACTGAAATGTGCTACAAAACCTGCAGGTCCACAGCCTCATAGGTGAAAGACTGTAAGAATTCACTCCCAAACACACTCTCACCAGCTCTGAGGGTACAGAGAGGGGCTTATGGAAAAACTACTGACCTTATCAAACACATCCCGACCTTCAGCTATAGCTGGGACTGGATACATGAACAAGTAATCCCATAAACTTCACTTTCACTGGGTAAATTGCTAAGCTTTGCCTTCACTGAAATAACCCAAGACTACAAAACATGATTGCTTCTCCAAGATTCCAAAATAGGCAAGAGCTTGTTAACGAAGAGGCATCAATTACAAGTTCCCTTCTGCACATGCAGATCCTTATGCAATTCCTGTCTCCACAGCTACGGCTGTTCAGAGTAAGTGAGAAGCACAAACGAAATACGTGCACAAATCACTAATCTTCAGCTTTCTTCAAGGTTTCATCAAACCAAGGAGACCTTCTGGGTAAAAAAAGCCAGTTTGCAAAGAAAGACAACGCAGAGGTCTGACAAAACCTGCTTGTGTTGCCCCCCCCCCGTTGCTGCATTGATGCTGCTTGTGTAACAATAAAAGTACTCCTTGGCAAGGCTTTGAGAATTCAAACTCCATGATGAGAGCTTCATGATGTGAACAAGAAAAAATCCACCACAAAATTCCCTGGGAAGTTGCTGGCCTTATTTGGAGCACCTGCCATGCTGAAGCGTGGATCTTAAACAGACAACTCCTTCGCTTCAGTTGGACATTCAGTGACCAAGAACAGAGCAGGCAATCTACAAAGAGATCCAAGGCATATCTGTAAGAAGCAGCAATGCTGTTACAGGAAAGACCTACCTTTAATGTTTCCACTTCATACTTCAGTCTTTGGTTATCTGCTTGCAAATCTCTGTTCCTCTGCTCAGCCTGCACTAGCTGTGCCTCCAGCTCAGCTTCTAATTCCCTGCTTCCTTCCTGAAATTCAGCCAGCTCTTCCCGAGCTTCCTGGAAGCTGGAAGGAAAGGATTTCATCAGTTGAAAAGCATCTCCCAAGTTAAAATAACATCCACAGCTCTCCTAAAATAATAAACTGAAAGAAAGGGGAGTTTTAAAGTAGTTAAGTGTCATCCATAGACCTCCAAGGGGAAAAAGAAAGATGGGGAAATGAAGAAATTACATTAAGCTTAGCAATAAAAGGAAATTAATTCTCTTACATCAAACCAAACAGCTACATTAAATGAATGTGTGAATAGGAACTTGTCTCAAGGCTATTTACAGGATTCATGGGAGTATGAAAACCACTTTGTACTCCATTAGCTTCCACTGCTAAAGCCCTGAGAGAGTCAATGAATTTAGCAAGCATTTAACCTGATTTTGGTCAAGAGCTGTAAGAGAGACCATCAGTTCCTGGGGCTCTGCACTACCTGGAAATTGAAGGTTCTTGCAAAGTATGAAGGTCTGAATCTGGGGTTGCTGAGCCCGTCAGCAAGAAGTCAGCACCCACCTACCTCACACCACTGCCAGTTATTAAGGGCTAGAAGGAGCCACTCCACATACTTTGCTTATTAAATTCATGTCTTTACCATAGGTAATAGCTCAGCTCTTAGCAAACAGCAGGGAAAATGAGCAAGGCTTTAGGAATCAGCATACCCACTGGTGTCTGAGACAGAATGTTCTGACACCCAAGAACAGGTTGGGGTTCTCTACATGGACACATGCCCAACACCTCCCCCCAAAAACCCAGCAAAGTAACAGCTTGCACCTTGGGCTTGAGAAAGGCCCAACTGGCTTCAATTGCACATGGGTATCATTGAATGCAAGGCAAGCTTTCCAAAGAAAATGAACTGGGAGCCCCCACGGCAAAATCAATCCCCAAATAATCTCCACCCCAGCAGCAGCACAGCGTTACACAAGACAGCAGCCTCCCTGGCTGTTTTGCATTGCCAAAAAGCCCTGTGCCCCCCTAACAGATATGGAGCCCTGGTACAAGATCAACTATGAGCTACAGCACACTTCAGTAAATTGCAGCAGACACCAAATCAGCCACTTCTCATACCAGTAATTCCACTACGAGAAGCTCAAGAGAACAGTAATCATACACAGCCACCCCAAAGGCACCTTCCACGATAAAACATCAAGATATTACTTAAGGCAGCACTTTCATTATTCAAAGATGCACATGATGGCAGAAGAGCTCTGCTCTTGCTCAGACATGCTCAAAACATAGCCTGGAGTTCATGGCATGGTAACACTGTGCCAGAAAGACTCAGCTCCCACCAGGCTGGAAATGCAGATTCCTTCCAAAATATCTGCTACCCATTTTGGTGTGCTCCTGGACAGGAACTGATTAAACAATGCTCTGGCTGCCAAGAACCAAATCCAGCCTGCAAATATCCAACAGTACCTTTGTTTGTACTTCAAGGAAAGCTCTTTCCAATACGCAGTTTCCTCCTTTGGACTCGAGAAAGTCGGGATTTCTTCACTGTCCATGATCAACACGACCTGCAGGATACAAACGTAATACACTCAGGATAGAGACAGGCTGATTGTCCCCCCAGAACTGCTCCTAAACACTGGGCTTCATCACCACAACCTTCCTGCCCACGGCATCCAGGCCTGGCAGTGCCAGCAGGAAGGCAGGGATCCCCGGGAGGCGGCATTCTGCACAGAGACCTGCCCCAACAGGCACTGTGATCCCAGCCAGCTCCTGGAACTGCGCCTGCAGCACCCTCCAACCACAGCACAAGTGTTAGCTGTATTTTGTACCTGCTGCCGGAACAGCAGTTCATGCCAGAGGCCCACCCAGGCCAACAGCAGGTAAGGATATTAAAGTGTACACCCATCACATCTTCCACTTTTATTCCTAAAAGGTTCTTAAAGGGATTTTGCCTCCTGATGCGAGCCCAGCAATGCACGCTACAGCTCCTGCCAGAGCTGCAAAGGCAGGTAAAGGAGGACAAACACTTCGAGGTCAACCAATAATACACTGCTGCAGAGATTCAAATTCAATTTTCTTGTCCCATGTTCAGGCCCTGCTCATTCCTGTTCCTATGGAAAACAGGCAGGTAACAGAAGTTACTCACATAGTTTCGCTCTCTCCATCCTCCCAGACACAAGAGAGATCAGCCTCTCCCATAAAAACTATCTCAGAGCCTTCTCTTCTCCACACTAAACCCCCCAGGTCCCTCAGCCCTTCCCCATCACACTTGTGCTCCAGGCCCTGCACCAGCTCCGGTGCCCTTCTCTGGCCCCGCTCCAGCACCTCAATGTCTCTCTTGCAGTGAAGGGCCCATACAACAGTGCTTCCAGCCTGGAGGGGTCTGGAGCTTCCCATGCTGAGGCAGGGGGACCCCCGCTCTCTGCATGAGGACCTCCTTTGTTCATCTGTCTGAGCCACTGGATGCCACTGCAGCCCCACTCGGTTGTGAGCCAGTGTAAGCAACACACCCCATCATGGACTTTCATACTGCTGCTCAGCAGGGGAGCAAGGCACAGTCCAGGGGGACACAAGACATCTGAGGCCTTGACAGACACCAGCTCTCAGAAGCTGATGAAGATGATGAAGATGATGGTCATGGTCCTGGCATGAACAGCAGGACCAAGACAGGCGTTGAGATGGACACAGCTCCCAGCCAGAGCCAGGAGATGCACCACACTGTGTACCACTTCTGAGCTCTCCCCAAGCAATCCCACAGCTCTTTTACAAGCTGGCATCTTTGTCTCTTCCCAGAAGCCAAGACTCAAATTCTCTTATTAACACCCAGAAGAGACTAAGCTGAAACCAACCATTTCTCTGTTTAAAGCAGAGGCTCTAAACGAGGCTTGCATCAAGCTCATCAATAGCAGCTGACCTACAAGTCCTGACTTTCACACTCTGACAGGCATCAACAGCCAATGCTGTCCCTTCAGGCTTGAAATTGTCACGCTAATATGTCCTGCATCTCAGTGACCCACATTTTAGCCACCTAAAAGTGGGACAAATCAATCCCCTGCTTTCATCAGAGGGCAGGCACGCTCATTTCAGAGCCTGGCACTCAGCTCACAAACAAAGCAGAGCAGAAGTGGCACATTTGTTCTTCAGCTAAGCCTCCAGCTGCCACTCTCCGAGGACACCATATCAAATCTGTCCAGAGGGTGCTGAGCACCTCAGGAACACCCCTCCTCTTGCAGGGTGTTTGTTTAACTCTACAGCTCTCCTGTAGAATCACAGAATGGTTTGGGTTGGAAGGGACCTTCAAAGCTCATCCAGTCCAAACCCCCACAATGAGCAGGGATTCTTCAACTAGACCAGGTTGCCCAGAACCACATCCAGCCTGACTCTGAATGTCTCCAGGGATGGAGCATCCACCACCTCTCTGGGCAACCTGTGCCAGTGTTTTACCACCCTGTGTAAAGAATTCCTTCCTCACATCCAGCCTGAATCTCCCTCTTTTAGTTTAAAACCATCACCCCTCGTCCCGTCACAACAGGCCCTGCTGAAAAGTCTCAATCTTTCTTACAAGCCCCTTTTAAGGACTGAAAGGCCACAACAAGGTCTCCCTAGAGCCTTCTCCAGGCTGAACAGCCCCAACTCTCTCGGCCTTTCCTCACAGGAGAGGTGTAGAAGCAAGTTTGTCATGAATGGACCTCAGTGCTGGTGAGAGAACCGATGGTGTTCCCTGTCCCACACTGCCCTGTACCCAGAGAATAACCCATGGCCACGGAGCTGTTTGAGCTCCTGCAGTATGTGTCCTGCCGGTCCTGCTGCACCTCCTTGGGTAAAGACATCTTCGGGTGCCCTTGTTCCAGGAGTCACACCTATTAACAAAGCAGCTGAATCCCAGCACAGGGCAGGGCAGATCCCAAGTCCTACACCAAAGCTTTCTGCAGTAGAGGCAGAGCCCATGAATCACCTCCCAGACTGTCCTGGGTTCGCAGGCGGGTGCATTCAGGCGAGCAGAGACCTGCTGCAGCTCAGACACATGCTGGGCAGCTCTGAACCACCATTCAGATGGCCAGGAAGAGGTGAACAGCTCAGCTACTGCAGCATGCTGCCCACAGCATCAGTCTTGCACTGACCTCTGAAAGCCCTGCACCAAAAGCCTGCTGACCTTGCCCTCCAAGGCGTGCAGCTCTCAGCCAGCACATTCCAAGAGGCTTAGATCACCAAGAAGCACATTCTCCCCACAATAAATGACACACAGAACTCAGCTTCCACCGCTCCAGAGGAGCTGATCTCAAAAGGTAAACAGCCAGGAAGCCACCCATCAGCAAAGTTCAGGATGTGCTTAGAAAAACATCTGTATAAGGAAGCATCTTACATCATTTCCTAGAAGTAGCAGTGCTAAGGCACAGCTGGGGCCAGGGCTCCTTCCTGCCTGCTCACACCCTTGGCAATGCACCCCTGAGGCCTCCCTGCACCCAGGGCAGTGTGGGAGCCACAGGAAGGGCTGCCTGGGACTCACAGACTCACCAACTGCCCACACAGGAGATTTACGTCTTGTTTCCCCAATGCCCTTGTCAAAGACCCTCTCCTTTTAGACACTGAAGGGAGGAGATCCAGCCCTGCAGTACTTCAGGCCCCTCAGAGCAACTCCCCTTTTCCAACCCTATCATCCCCTGCCCACCTTGGTGAAGCAGCTTGATGGTCCAGGGTCACCTAGCCCCGTGTCCACCATCATGCCCATCACCATCAGCATGGATGGGTGACCTGCTCACTGACCTGCAGAAGCACCCCATCATACATGATGCCAGGATGCATCCAATATCCATATCCTGCTTTGGTACACAGCTACATCACTTGTCTTCCCTCATATGGGTGAGAGCCAAGTGAAAGAGTTAGGAGCACAAATACACTCTGCAAACAAGGTGGTTCACATTGAGACAAGGAGGCACAAAAGCACAAGATGTAATCAGCTCTAACCTTAAGTTTGATGGCTTTGTAATGGAAAACAACTGAGGTGCTTGAAGGTAGCTGACACAGGTTTAGGTCCTTAGGACCTCAGTACAAAAAGCATATGAAAAACAGGATAGAAAAACAGGACCTGAGGATGGGGAGTATGTGGGACTAGCAGAGGTCCAGGATGGGCGCAGTTAAACTAACTGATAGGTAGAAGGACAGAACGATTGCTGTTTGTGGTGTTAATGAACCCATTAAGCTGGTGTAAACATCTACTGGGGAGTACTGGGGACTAGCAGATGTCCAGGATGGGAGCAGTTAAACTAACTGATCGGTAGAAGGACAGGACGATTGCTGTTTGTGGTGTTAATGAACCCATTAAGCTGGTGTAAACATCTACTGGGGAGTATCGGGGACTAGCAGATGTCCAGGATGGGAGCAGTTAAACTAACTGATAACTAGAAGGACAGGATGATTGCTATGTCTGTAATGTTAATTAAGCTGGTGCTTCAAAGACTGCCAAAAATGATGAAGATTGCTGGGAGAAGTAAAGGACCCTCAGAGACCACCACCACATTTTGGTAGGCATGCAGGGAACTGTCTGGAAAATGATGTAATTCATGTGTAGCCTCATGAATATGTATGTATGTATGTATGCCCAGTGACTATATAAGGATGGCCTGTGTAGCAACACGGGGATACGCGTTAGGAGGAGCTATCCCCCGTGTCTCTGGGCACCGCAGTAAAGAATACCTGCTTGTCAGCTCGAGAACCTTGTTGGCGAGTTTGTTCCTGGAGTTTTCCCCGAATCAACAGCCAGAACGCTAGCCTGCGAGCTGGGAGGTGCAGGCAGCTCCCAAACCTGCCACGAGCGCACACATGGCTCTACGGGATCCCTTCACTCCTGTCAGCCTTTGCCCATTGTCACTATTGGGGGCATAGAAACACAGGCCTGGTGCACATGCCTGGCAGGACACAACTCCTGGGCATGGTCAGAACATAGCCAGGCAGCTTAAACCCCTCACGTGTGGGACAGTGGATGCCCACAGAATACCAGAGTGCAACAAAACCGCTTTGCTTCAGCCAGTTGCCCCGGCCCTGGGCATTATGTGGGGAGCTGAGAACCAGCACAGCGAGCCCTTCCTATTCACAGGCTTCTTTGCATACGTGGCACTTGCAGAATCCAGCCTTTGACAAACAACACTGAGGCTTTCAGGATACAGACAAGACAATGCAGCAGCGTCTTCCAGGGAAAATGAGAGCAGGCTTATGCTGCTGCCCACTTGAATTCATTAGAAGACAGCTCAGCATTCACACAGCGCCCTGGGAAAACTCAGCTACACGGGCACAACTCCAGGATCCAAAGCAGCTCTCAGACAAGAACTATGCTCAGAACACGGTGGCTCCTTTCAAGTCCCCCCCCATACTCAATCAGTGGGACAGAGTAATGCTCCACTGTTAAAATGGAACAGCTTTTCTACACTGCCATCACTCTAAAAGAATGCAGCAAGTAGGTTAAGAACTTCTCTAAATCCACTGGGGTTTGTAAAGCACAAATGTGGTTTCCCGCCTCCAAAAGCATCCTCACGAGTGAGATGCTCAGTATCCTCTGAGTATTACAAGAGCCAAAGACTGAATCCAATCTGTAGTAGAATTAACTACCATGCACACAGTAGTTTTCAAGTAGCTGAAGGAATCTTGCATTCATTCATTCATTCATCTGCCAAACTGAAATCTTTATGGAGCCACCTTTCAGCTAAGTCATGAAAACACAAACACAGCCTGAAGTGTAACACAGGACCTCAAAAAAGCTTCCCAGGCGCGCCATGGGGCTGGAGGCTGCTGCTGCTGGATCATGTGTCAGAGCAAAGCACTAAGGGTGAAATATAACACGGTGTTTTGACTTCTACCCGCCCCCTCCCACAGTGAGGAATCCACTCCTCCCCACCCACAGCTTCAACACAACTCACTGATGTAAGGGTGAGCTACAGAGGCACGTCCAAAATGATTGTGGAGGCAGCTGCACTTCACCCAGGCTGTACCTGCAGCATCTCAAGTGGCTGGACAAACCATTCTTCCCCAGCTTAGTCATCCCACAACCTCCCATTTAAATCTACCTTATAAATACTTGCTATATAAAGTGAATATCATTTAATGGTCACAAACAGGTCCTTTTTCTCCACACAGGCCAACTCTTCCTCACAATCCTGCTCACCCAGTGTTTATGGACACCAACCAAGAAGAATTAACCAGAGGCAAGGCAAGGCCACTCAAACACAACAAACTATGCTGCTAAGACTCCCCCATCTTTGCTTTGCTGTCGCCCCACCGAGGGCAATGCAAATGTCCACTGACCTTTGGAATTAACCAAATAACAACCTAAAATAGGACTTGATAAAGAAATGCTGCCAAGCTCCCATCTGGCCTTCAGCTCTGGAGATAACCACCCATTCTGGCTATCGGAGTTCCCCAAGCTGCCAAGTGCCATGTTTGCAGGGCATGACTCTAAGCAAATGCAGAGTGTATGCTAAAAAATTCTCCAAGTCCAGCAAGTTCTGTACAGGAGAAATGTGGCTTCCCACCTCCAAAAGCATCCTCACTCTGCTGTTGAGTGCTGGCACTGTCCTGAGCTGCCATGGAGAGCAGGAAGGACCATCAGCAATCAGGTCTTCTTCCTCTTCCCTTTTTATGCTGATTCATAGACAGAAAAGCAGAAGAAACCTTGTTTCCACCATTCTTCACCTTCTCAAGCTCTGAGAACCAACAGAGTAACCCCCCATATCCCATAAGCTCTATTTTTCTCCAGACCCCATCAGGATTCAGAGCAAAGGGACCTGAGCACTCCAGCCAAACACCGAACTTGCCTTGCCTTTCACTTCTAATAATATGAAAAACAAACAAACAAAAGCCATGGATTAGGTTTCACTGATCAATTTGTGCTTGTTTCTCTCATCCTGAAATAGGAGCTGGAAGCATTTTCATCTGGGTTTGGAAGGCTGCCTGCATCCATCGCTGCTTTGGAAAGTGAACCTCTGTCTGTTCCTGCAGTTGGTTTGGAACCGAATGTTCTCAGGAGAACCACAACAAATGCCTGCTCACCTCTTACAGCAGCAGCACAGGAGCTTTCAGGGGAAGCAAGAAACTCAGAACACAGTGTCAGCCCAACACTCCTGCTCTGCTCTAATAATACGTCCTGCAGTTCTAATTTGGACAGCACAGGAGGCGGAACATAGCCAAATCCTACCTGCAGGAACTTTGTCCAGGTTTAGACTAACAGCCTTGAAGATAACCAAACACCACACAGCAAAGTCTTGTTACCTCCACAGCCTCTCGTGGAACTGGCTTTATTAATCACATAAAGCAGGAATGGTTTATACACAGCCATTGCTCACATGCCTGGTGAATATGTGATATCCAGAGGGGCAATAAACCTCTGGGAGGTAGCCACCACTGCAGTGCAAGCCTGGAAACCAGAAGAAAGGTACTGATGCAATAAGTCCCTTTTCAGAAATCAAGTTACAGCCACCACTAAAGGCATCAGAATTTAGTATTCAAAGCATTTACCCCGTCACAAACATGGGAAGTTTAAAACATCTGACCTCTGTTTGTTCCCAAGTACTACCACTGAAGAACCTTAAAAAGGAAATCTGGAGAGGCTGGAGCTCCTGATGCAGGTTCAGTGTCTGCGGGGATGAAGGAAAAGCTGCTGGAGATGTGCATGTCCCAGAACAACCTGGGCCTGACCATGGGAATGATCTGTTCCCAGCTCCATAGCCAGGAAGGCCAGAGGGATGAATCCACACAGAGCAGAAGGGTGCAGAGCAAACTGAGAAAGAAAGGAAGGCTGTGAGAAGGACACGCTTCTCCCTGCCTCAGCCTCTGCTCCTGATGAGCACCAGCAGCACTGATCCTGACTCTACACCAGATGCTGACCACAGGCAGAAGCTGGAGGCCCTTGCCTCCCCCACCAGGGCTTTGCCACCCAACTGGCTTCTTCCCCAGCTGCCTGGTTTCCCTTTAAGCCTTGAAAATTACACAGCATCCTGCCCAGAAGCAATGAATTCATCCAAGAGCTTATGACATACACGGCAAAGAGCTTGTGACAAATGACAGAACACGGGTCCCCTGTGCCTCCCTGTTAGCTCAGCAATTAGCAGCAACCCGATGACGACATTCCCTAAGAAGGCAGCGGCCAGAGGGCTCAGATGCTTCTGGACACTGCAGAATGACAAACAACCAAGAAACTTAAAGGGAAAAGCACTCAGCCCGGGTTTCTTGCAAGGGGAGTGAATTCTGTTGCCTTTACACCCCTGAGGTTCTACCAGTGCCAGGGAGGAGAAAATGGTTCTGAAGAACTCTGTCCCAAAAGGGGTCCCGCGCCAGGCAGTAGCAGCAAGGGCCTTGGCTGCTCCTGTAAGCACTTAACAAGATGAGAGTTAAAAATAATCCCTCCAGCTCACTGCCGATCAGGAGAAGGAAGCAGCACAGCCTGGTGCTGAGCTGTGCTGACAGCAGAGGCCTCCAGGGACACGGTCCTATGAAGACATACATATCCTGATGGGTACATCTCACTTCGTTCCCAGACAAGTGCAGTACAGAGGTGAAAAGACAGTTTGCTTGAACACAGCTCCTGGTTTATCTTGGTTATGTTTGTAAGGTCACAAATGTCAAGAAAGACTGTAAAAAGGCTGTTTCCTTTCTGCAGTCTGATATTCCCTGCTTCTCAAAAAACAAATGTGATAGGCTGAGGAAATAAATTACACTTTAATGCTGTACTTTTTTGGTAGTTTACTGCCAGACATGTCTCTAAAGACAAGACTCTGTGTGGCACCAAGCTCACAAACATCACCAGCCTTATGCTTTCTCTGTACTTCTTGTTCTTTCACTTCTCCACCAAAGGAAGAATTACCTTGCATGTCTGCAACCTCTGAAGAGTCAGGGAAAACAAAATAAAACGAGGGGGCTTTACCCTGAAGAGAGGGAAAGGAAATCAGATAACTCTTCCTCTGAACACAGCCCTTCACCTCTACTTCCCAATAACATGCAGGACCCAATCTCCACGTGTGAATATGTGGCCTCTGCCTCCACACGCACACACCACAAATACACAGCCCAGGCAGGTCTGGGTCTGCAAGCAAGGCAGAGGATCTCTTCCAGGGCAGACCTAACTGTAGTAATGAAACCCCACACTGCCACCCCACCTGACACAGCCTGCACAAGTGCAGGTAACCAGCACCACCAGCCTGGGCAGTCACACTGCTGACACATCACATTTCAGTATAAAACAGAAGTCTCTCAGTCACTCTTCTGCCCTGGGAGAGCTCCTTCCTCTTACAGTTATATTTCTAACAAAACAGTGACGTTGACGAGGCCCTCTGCCCTCTGCTGTGTCCAGGGACTGGTTTGGGGTGGGGAGAAAAGAGAAAAGAAAATCTCTTAGGTATCCAAGGAGCTCTTCTACCACGGCTGCACAGATTTAACCACCTCTCAGGGCAATAAATGCCATGGGCATCCAAAAGTGCCCTTCTCCTCTCTGTGCTCGTCACCAAGTCAGGAATGGTTTCAGAGAACACAGAAACCCTGAGTCACCAAACAGTCCCAACCCAATCTGGTGTAGAGCAATGAGGCTGCATGCGGGCGAGGGCAGCTCTCCTCTGCCCTCAGAAGGGGAGAGATGCGTTAATGGGAAGTCGCTTGACTGAAGTAGCCCACCCCCTCCTGTGTCAGATGTGTTCCTCCTCTTCGGCACGCCTGCTGCGATTCAGGTCCAACTCAAGGGGCTGTTCAAGTTTCATCATGTTTATACCAAATACAACAGGACTCTCTAGGCTGAGAGGGAGGTGATAACCACCTCAGAGAAAAAAACCCACAGAATTACTGAAAGATATTCGATAGGGATGCGCCCTGGGCACTTGATTTACTGAGTATTCTATGACAACGGAGGCAAACCGCACGTTCAGCTTCCCATCACTGACCTGGGATGGTAAAAAACCCTCTTCTGGAACAAAGCCACCTACAAAGGAGGCACAGGGACCGCGAAGGGAGCAGCGTGCTCCTGGCCGCAGCCACGCAAGTCCCCGAACTTCCCCTCCCGCACACGGGCGAGCCCCTTCGATCGGGGCTCGCTCCTCCCGGCGCACGGCCACCGACTGGAGCGGAGGGCAAAGAACGCGAGCGTCCTCCCAGCGCATGGCACCTGAGCGGTGCGGAGGCCGGCGCGGGGAGGCTTCACCCCGCCCGCCTGCAGGCCGCAGGAGCTGCTCGGGCACTTGCGACAGCCGCGCTCTGCCCCTTCCCCAGCACCGGCTGCCGGAGCCGCCCCCGCCCCGGGCCGGGAACCCAGAAAAGAGACCGAGCGCTTCCCTCCCTTGGCTCCGCGCCGGCCGCGGCCCGGGCCCCGAACCCGCGGCTCTGAGGCGAGCCCGCGCCCCGCCGCAGGAAGGCAGCTGCACACCCAGCCCGCTCCCGCTCCCACTCCCGTACCTTCGGAGGGCGTCCCCAGGCCGCTGCCGGCAGGACCCGGCCCCGCGGAGCCACGGCACCGGCGCTCAGAGCAGGGCGGTGGCCGGGCGGGCAGGACCAAGCCGCGCCGGACACTGACAGCCACTCGCTTTCGCCAATGGGAGGCGGCGGCGCTGCGCCGCCAGCCAATGAAGAGCGGGGTAGGGCGGGACCTGCCCCGTTGTCAGTTCGCAGCCAATCGGCGGAGGGGTGCGGGGCCCGCAGCCCCCGGCACGGCCACGGCCGCCTCGACCCCGTCGCACCGCGTCCCGCTCCCCGTGTCGGCCCCTGCCCGAGCCCCGGGCCCCGGGCCCCGGCCCCCCCGCCCGCCGCCGCTCCTCACCGGGCCGCACCCCCGTCACAGCCGCAGCATCGCCCGCCGGCCCCGGGGCTGCCTCATCCGGGTGCTCCTGGGCGGGGCCGCGCCCGTGACGCACTGGCGGGGGGCGGGGACACCTCTTTGACGCGCAGGGCGGGGCGGGGCGGGGCCAGGAGCGGGGCCCGGTCTGTGGTCACCGGTGTGACCCCGGAGTGACCCTGGTGTTATCCCGGTGTGACCCCGGTGTGACCCCTAGCGACCCCGGTGTTATCCCGGTGTGACCCCGGAGCGACCCCAGAGTGACCCTCGTGTTATCCCGGTGTGACCCCGGAGTGACCCTGGTGTTATCCCGGTGTGACCCCGGTGTGACCCCGGAGCGATCCCGGAGTGATCCCGGAGCGATCCCTGCCGCCGGCCTCTGCTCGGCTCCTGCTCAGCGTGTTGGCTCGCTCTGACCCCTCCCAAGCCTCCTCCCGGCCGAAACAGGCCGAGGGTTCCTCAAAGCCCCAGACCCCTTCCCTGTCCATGGAACCATGGAATCAGCTGGCTTAGAAAAGCCCTTCAAGCTCATCCAGTCCAACCCTTACCCCAGCACTGCCAAGGCCACCCCTAACCCATGGCACTGAGGCCTCGTCCCCACGCTGTGTGAACACTTGCAGGGACGGTGACTGCAGCCCTGCCCTGGGCAGCCTGTTCCAATGCCTGAGCACCCCCTGGGGCAGGAATTGTTCCTCAGCTCCATCTAAACCTACCCTGGTGCAGCTTGAGGCCGTTTCCTCTTGTCCCATCCCTTGTTCCTTGGGAGCAGAGCCCAGCCCCTCCTGGCTCCATCCTCCTCTCAGGCACTTGTAGGGAGCCATCAGGTCCCCCCTGAGCCTTCTCTTCTCCAGACTGAACTCCCCAGGACCCTCAGCCGTTCCCCATCACCCCTGTGCTCCAGGCCCTGCACCAGCTCCATTCCCTTCTCTGGCCCCACTCCAGCACCTCAGTGTCTCTCTTGCAGTGAGGGGCCCAGAGCTGAACACAGGATTCGAGGTGCGGCCTCACCAGTGCCCAGTGCAGGGGCACAATCCCTGTCCTGGCCCTGCTGCTGCACTGGTGCTGGTACAGGCCAGGATGCTGGGGGCTTCCTGGCTGCCTGGGCACAAACTGCTCATGGTCAGCAGCCATCAGCTGGATGCTTTCCCAGTCCTTTCCCACCAGGCAGGTTCCAGCCACTCTTCCCTATGTCCATCCCTTTGTTTTCCCCGTTGTCTCCACAGCCCTGTGTCACTGCCCTTGTGCCCTGTGGGTTGGGGACAGCCGGTTGCCTCTTCAGACAGGTCCTGCCAACGGCCAACCTCCAGCGCCCTCACACTGACCTAATACTTAAGCTTTGTTTGCATGTTTAATTTCTGACCTCTGTAGTTAGCAGCCTGTCATTAGTGGCAGGCGGTGCCATGGGGATGC